TGGCAGCAGGGTAACCAGAGAGCCTTGCTAGCGCTAGGACCGGGCCAACCAGCTTGGCTGGCTGGCCTATCTGCCTGTCTCGCAGCGGGTACTCCCGAGCTCCCTCTCTCGTTCTCCAGTGGCCCTGCGGGCCGAGTGCGTCCGATCCGAGCCGGTCGGATCCGATTCTTGCTGCAGTGGAGACGGCGGGCGAGGCCTCCTCCACAGGCTGGGCAAGGCAAGGAGCGCGGAAGGAGGAGGAGGAGGAGGAGGATCCCCCCCTCCCGGGAAGTAAACAGCAGCTGCAGGAGGAACACCGGGGTTCAAGGTAAAACCCTGAACAGGCCGGGGGTGCAGATGACACTTTGCACGGAGGGTCATCATGCCAGGGCCAAACCTTCCCGTATTTCCGCCCTAGGGAGGGTAATCTGCTTTGACATGAGAGGCTGGTGCAAAGAGGCTGGCGGATGTTCTCTCTCCCCCCCCCCCCGCTTGTCTTTTACAGGCATGCCAAAATTGCAGCAGCAGTCCTCCCCTACCGGGCGCTTGTTGCATTTCCTTTCATGCACAGAAATTTCAGGCTCTCCTTTCTGAACTGGGGGGCTGCTGGCATGGCTTCAGCTCCTCTCCCCCCCCCCCTTCAAGTTTGAGGGACTCACTCTTGGCACCAGATCAGGAAAAGCAGAGGGAGAGAGATGACAGGGGCTGACCCCTCCCCCGCTAGGATTGGCCCAGCCTTAAATGCTCCCCCACCCCTGGATTTCGGCGAACTTGAACTTCACACGTACCTTAAGGAGGGGGAGAGGAAAGCGGCTTGGCGTGGGGGGGGGGAAGAGCGCGACTGCGCTGCCCCCAAGCGCGTTTGTGCAGGCAGGCTTTGCAATGTTTGCTTGTGTGTATGCATGCGTGTGTGTCGGTAAATATACGTGCGCATGGGGGGGGGAAGCTTTATTATTTTTCATTTTTTGCAGACGTGTCTCACCCGAGCGTGCTCTACAGCGTTATTATTTATTTATTTTGCAAAGATGCATCGGTTTTTGCAAGCACAAAAGAGACACGCGCAAAGATTGGGGTGGGGGAAGCTGTCGGGGTTTTCCATTCCCCCTCCCCTGTAGGAAATTCTCCTGCAAAGCGGAATGCTTTTGCGCTCTTTTGCGAACGGAGGAGGGCGAAGCGGCAAAAATGGCAGCCTGGCATGACCGAAGGGGGCCCTGTGTCATCCCCCCCGTTAATCCCTGCGCGAAGGGAGGCGTTGCGCGATCAGGATAAGATTTTAGGGAAGCGGAACAGGCAAGGAGAGATTTTATGGGGCACGCGGGAGGGATTCTTCGGAGGCTGCAGGGCACGGCTGGGCATTGGGGGGGGCATCGCCCTGCTTCTCTCTTTTCCGTGCGCACACCTGTAGCTGGGACCGGGCACGGGGGAGGGCGGAGGCGAGTGCAATTATCCAGCCTCTTTTCCTACCCTTCGTTGGCTTAGTCTCTCCCCCCTCTCCCGTTTGTACAATGAGGGGGGGGAATGATTCACAGAGATCAGGCGCTTGTTTTCCAGGCATTTTGCATTCACCCCCCCCCCGGTTGAGCGGCCTGTCCAGTGCGGGAGGCTTCATCGCTTGGTGCAAATTCGGAGGCGGGGGGAGGCGCTGGCTGTCACTGTTCTGTGCGGGGGGAGGGCGCAGCTGTGTCCTTGAAAGCTTTGCAGTGTTGCCGGTGAAGGGCAAGCCGAGGGGGGTGGGGTTCTCTGCCGGGCTCAATTTTTCCCTAGTAGAACAGATACGTGAGGTGGGCAGGGGCCTCCTGGGTGTGCTTCCCCCTCCCCGGCGCAGCAGCCCCTCCCGCCGGTTTTCCATTCTGCCACTGCCAGTCCCCCTCCTTTCCTTGCGTGCTTCGCAGCTTCAGACTGGCACGATGCCAGGCTCCTGGCTCCTCCTCCCTCCGCGGATGTCTCCTCCTCCCTTCCAGGCTGAGGGGGGGGGGCCTTCAGTTCCGTTGTCTGCCCTGCGCTAGTTGACCACCCTTTGAATGGGGGCCTAGTATAGAAAAGAGTAAAAGAAGGGTAAAGGAAGGAATACGCATAGGAGCTGGTGCAGGGGGATGTGCTGCATCTTTATCATCAAGTGGGAGGGTTGTTTAGAGTTTGTCACTCTTTGGGGAAAATATGGCTGAAGCCCAACTGTGGGGAGGAGATTCTGAACTGCTGCTCCTTCTAAGTTCACTTTACTTGATTTCTGATGGTGCAATCATCTCTCCTTCAACTCGATTGTGATTACCTCCAGAGAGGAGACCCTGTTGCCCCTCGCTCACATTATGTTTCTTTTGCTGTGATGATTTGGCAAACTCCACATTATCTCTCCATAGTGAAGAGTGGGGCTTGGGAGGGGGGTCTGTCCCACCAGGAGCAGCTGGAGGGCTCAGGGCGAAGCCACCGCTGCAAGCTCCTTTTCTAGCATTCCCATCAGTTGAACACATTCGATGCTCAAGTGTCCATTTTTGTCACTGTTTTTAGATATTTAAGAAACTTTTCTGCAGATTTGGCACTACACTGCAATACCCCCAAGTTAGTGGATGTGGGCAACAGAATGTTGGCTTGCAAGTTAGTCTTTAGATATCTTATTTTGCATAGAATGCCATGAGCATATTTGGAGCAATACTGGGCTGTGGTAACTCACACTGGCCAAAATGTATCAAAACTAACCTGCATTGTCTTTACCATTAACAGAGGTTGTTGTATGTGGCACAGGTAAGACTAAGGCCGGTATATAGTTAAACAGCATTATGTGAAGACCTCAATTGACCAAAGCTAATTGGCCTAATATATAACATGGCTTTGGTCAACAGGGTGCCTCAAATGATGATCATGGCATATGGAAAATTGCAGCTTGAAATGTAAGAACAGTAAATGTTAAGTGGTATGAAAGAATGAATGAAACAAAAGGAAAACAAATTATATGTCAATGAAACTAAGAATGGGGAGAATATCATATATAAATAAATAAAATCTGAATGAAGGTGATCATCTTGTGGAATGGAATGGATGATTCATGCAGAGAAGTGAAAGTGGGCTGAATTATGATTGGGTTAACAAGTCATAAAATATGAATCGGTGTGATTAAGTTGTAGTTTATTTGAAAGCAAGAATTCATAAATTGCGTATACCTGTTACACCCCAGTGAATGGTGATAATGGAAGAGTTAGAGATGAGTTTCTGAATGAAAGCAGTTCAGGAGAAAATATTATTCTGTTAGGTGATATGAATGGATGGGTGAGAATGAGATGAGACAGTACAGAAAAATGATTTCACTATTTATCAACTTGAGAATGGTGACTGGTGAATATATATATGCTTATAGTGTAAGCATAAATCTATTCATGGCAAAGGAATGAATGTAAATCTAAAAGTATGATGTATTAGATTGTGTATGATGAATGACTGAGAGAAATACTGAAGGATACAAGAATGATGAGTTTTGAGTAGAGGACATATTGGTTGTGTTCAGCGGATGTTGGGGAAAATGGGCATGGAAGAAAAGAAAAAAGTGAAAGTGGGTCTTTAGGAAAAAAGTATGAATCCTATATAAAAAGTAGTAGAAAATAGATTAATTTTCAAATAAAATGAATGGAAAGTAGATGGAGAGCTGCCTGTTACAGTTATATTGCAGCAAGCCACATAAATATCTGGAGTTACACTGATGGAAAATGTGAAAAAGCATGCTGGGTGCAAAGATGAAGTAAAAGAGACTGTGGATAAGAGACTTATTGTGAAAGTGAGGATGAGAGAAAGATAATTATTAAGAGAACAATTAAAAGTCAAAATTAAAAGAAGCAAAACAATCATTTGATGAAAAGTTTAAAAGTTGTTTTAGAAATCAGTGGACAAAAAAGGCTAAAAAAGCACCTCCAACTAAGGAATATTTGTGGGTTACTCTAGAGATGTGTTGTTTGGGAATGTGAAAGGATGCAGACAGTGTCACTCCATTGATTGAGAATCAGTTTAGCTACATTTCCTTTTTTTTTATCTCATGCTTTTATTTCTTTAGCTTTACTTTATTCTCTTTTTGCAATCTATATAATGCTTACTCTGAAACAAAATAGCATAGTGGATGTTATGTATGGATCTATGCATGGATCAAGCAGTATAGGTTGGTCTATACACAGATTATAGCACACATGCTTCTGTGCGTAGAGTAGAGCATGTCTATTTGGTTAGCGCATGGACCCAGACCATGTTGTTCTGGTAGAGCCGTTCCAAAATGGAAGGCAGTTGTGGAAAAAAAAAAAGATGGATCAGTCTAAATTATCTGGATTTTGCTTTGGCTGGATTATGCTTCATCTAGAATGGCCTGGCCAACTTCTAAAGCACATGTTTGCTCCATGCACAGAGTGAAATAACATTTCTTGCTTTATATATGCTATGTGTGACTTTTTTGATACCAGCAGGTTGTACATAGACCTATTCCTTGTGGAGACCCCCCAATTTGCTGCCTGCTGGCTGTTTTGCCAGGCCTGATGTGACTGGAAAACGTCTGTGCCCTGTCATCTCTTCCTACCTGTCTTGAGCTTCCTTCCTTTCTAGTTTGGAATGAGGGTAGTTTATTGCTAGAAACCTCAAAGCCAATTCTTCAGGCCCAGCGCTTTTGAAAGGTCTGGACAATAAGGGGAGAGGGGAAGACCTTTTGTGAGCTTTTAGAGATGGGGAATGTACTCAATAACCCCTCACATGCTGGGTCAGCTGGAAACATCCTTGCAGGAGTCTTTTTTCCTTCCAATTAGATGTCTAAAAACATTTGAGGGGATGAATGATGTGGCTTGTCTAGAATAACTCTGGTGAAGAGTTGGGAGAGGGGCTTTTCATCTCCACCCCTTCAGGAAAGCAGGATTAGATTCTGGGGTGAGGCTGCCTCTTGGTTAGATAATCTCTAAACTTCTTCGTGTTTCAGAGGGAAACTAATTTGATTGTCATGACACGGGGGGGGGGGGGGGAAGGGGGGAAGAGATATACAAAAGGAATGTTTGCATTTAGAAACTTGGCAAACTGCTACATTTCAGTTCTGCCTTGCAGACTTGGAGGGTGAAAGCCACTTTTCTGTATTCCTCCAGTGGCTTGCAATGATTATTGTGTGAAGCCCCCAGGGATGTCAGCCTTTTCATGGGAGAACATGCAGAATTCTCCAGTGTGGTGAACAATCTGTGCCTTTCACCCTTAACAGGCATTGCCTGCTTGGTTATTTTTACTGTGAAGTTCACTCAAAATAGATCTCATCTGAGACCTATATGTGCCTCTGTGTGTGTGTGTGGGGGGGGTATTTTCACAAATCTTTACAGAGTGCTTCTCAGCCCCAAATAGGCAGTGGGCAGACAGGCTGTGACCAGAGCACAGCCCTCCTGACCTTTCCACTTGTGACAAGGAAATTGTTTGCCCTGCTCTGGTTCTGACGTCTTCCCATCATCTTCCCATCGAGAGCAGTCGGCCTTAAGAAAGGATTCTGGAGGTATTTTGGGTTGAAGTGGCAAAAGAGATGATGTTACCTAGTTGGGTAATGAAATGTTTGCAAACAAACAACCAAGCTCAGAAAGCACCAAGAAGTCCATAATTCAACCCTGCATTACAGATGTTCTCGTCTATTGGAACTGAAGTTGAGTAGTACAGAGCAAGAAAATTGACTCAGGGATCAAAGGATGTTTGTAGTTATCATGTCAGTCCTAGCAAGGCCTTTAAATTTCCACATTTAAGGATGTCATGGAGAGGGCATTTATTCTCTCAGATAGTTTTTTCTTTACTTCCAAATAAAAAAATTGTGCTGAGGACAGAGTACAGTTTGGCATCAACTCTAACAAAATCTAAAAATCTGATGTAAACATCTGCTTGTAGCAAATTTGGTCTGATAATTAAGATTAATCTTACGGTACATTGCTTAAAGGGAAATGAACATACAGTATTCCAACTGAAACTTGATTTGCACGAATTTTAGGGCAAGTTAACATCTGGATATGAGTTACTATCTAGTTTCTTAGTCATTTAATTTTCATTTAAATTTTTTATCCTGCAATTCTAATATAATTTCCTGATCGTAATAGTACTTTCGTATGAGAGAATAACATACTGATAAATGTTTATCCACAACATTATTTAAAATGGAGACAAGAACATTACATCACACAAGTGGACAGAGAACAAAATTATGCTGTCTCTGTACTTTATATTTGATGAAGTATTTGATCTTGGATTTAATTTGATTTTGGAATTAGGAGGTTATATAAAGTTTGCTCAGTGTATACATTGAAATCCTTAACTGTACTGTTAGTAAGCTTGTTTGCTTCAGAAATGCCATGACCCACATTGTTATTTGGAGTGCCGGATGTTCCTTTTTGGAAGCTGCAGTAGGAAAACTCCTTTTTCCTACATGAAACCAGTTATATGATGGAAATTAATGAAGGGAGACAAAGAGAGGCTTATACATTCTCAAGCATCTTCCTAAAAGGTTTGAAAAGAGTTTGTTTGTTTGTTTGTTTGTTTGTTTTATATGACTGCCCATCTTAAGCAATTCTGGGTGACGTACAATACCAGTGAATAAAACAATAATCATAAAAACAACATAACAATGAACAAAAATCCTGTGTCCTAAGTTTTCCTCAGAAATTTTATAGTTACAATTACCATTGTTGTTCTTCAGTACTTGGAAGCAAGTGCTTCTCTAGGGAATATTTGGCTATGAAAAAGTATCTTGACTTCACCACTTCCTGAAAGTATGGTATGTATCATGCTAAATCCTAGAGTAACATGACTTGCTGCCATGGGCATCCACACAGAGGCAAACAATGAAATGTGTGTTGGAACACGGCAACACAAACCCCATTCCTTTTATACTTGTATTGCAGTATTGAGTATGAACATGTAATAGGACAGATCTTGTGTGATATCACAATGCATATTTTATTGTTTTGACAAAAAAGTAGCTTGCTGCAATATGCCCAACTTGCTACCCTTTGTCTCTGCCAGGCTCTTTTTTCTGCCATCCACCCAATGTGCTGTTACATCTCCAGGGCACTGTGCCTGCCTTTTTATTCCTGGGGGGTATTATAATTTGGAAGGGCATTGTCTTACTTGGTGAGAGGGACCCACATTGCAAAGGTATGCTTTTTTGTATCTGAAGGGGACATACAGCCTTTGGAATGTTTGATTGAGTAGTGGATCACAGATAATTGCAGGATGGGGTCAACATTTTTAATTGCTTGTAGCTATAAATTTATTACACATTCAATATATATCAGGAGCGATAGCAGGATGGTTGTGTCTACCCATCCCAGAGACTTGTGACACTACCTCCCTTTCATATTGGTCTTGCCTTGTGCAAGTCTCATACTCAGAAAGTTGGAGGTAACGATGCCCCTTGGGCTCAACAAGACTACCCATGGAAGGATTGAGCTGGAAGCTCCACTGATAGAATTTTCTATTAGCAGACTGTGCTGCCTGCAGAAGAGGGTATGTGACTCAAGTGCTTCCTCTGAATTGCTGCGGCTGGCTCTTCAGCATTGTCCTATGGGAGTTCTGTATATTCTGCTTCTCAGTGGGACATATTCATCTCTGACCCATGAAAGCAGGAGGGGAAAGAAAGACTGAGCTGCAATAGTGTTTTTAAAAAAAACACAGGCAATGGTTTTTACAGCTGTACGAGAGTCACTTCCGCTTTGCTTTACCTGTTCTCTGCGCCAGTTTTTCTACTCTTAACTGGTAAGCCAGACATTTGAGTGGGCTTTCTTTGGTTGAGTTGTGAGTCACCCTCTTGCAGCATAAGTCAATCTATTCTTGTTCTCAGTCCTCAAAGTTATCCCTCCTCTTCCTCTGAATGATTTTGTGATCTTCAGCATATGCTGGGGTGAAAAGGAGATGAACTGGGATGGGCTTTTCAATGGCTCATCTGTACAGATAACAACGTACATGGACTACCTTATGGATGAATTATGGGAAGTGAGTTGGTTCTGTTTTTACTCCTTTACATTTGTCTAGCTCTTGTCCATGCTTACCAGTAGCAACCTTCATGAGAAGAAGTTCCCACAAATTTGTTATTTGACCATGTGAAGTCTATATCTTGCCTTCCATAAAGGGGGCATGTCTGTTTCTTGCAATGGTCAACAGGGCCCTTGCTCCCCATCATCTTGTCCTCATGCTGTTTTGCTTCTGAGTGGAGCTGAAGGAGCCATGGTTCCTGACTTCCTCTGAGAGACATACTTATCTTACAGAGTTTTACATCCGAAAATAAATTTACATCTGAATTTGAAAACAAGTGGCAGTTGATTCTGGGTTCTCAAAATGAAGTTCTTTTCAAGAGCATCTTATATCTAATTGATCACTCTAATTGCAGAAATGTGGAATTGATGCCCACTAATTTCCTTTGCATATAAAAAAGGCCACACAGTCATGATGTAGCTGTATCCTCCAATAGGAACAGCAACTGTAGGGAGGGGAAATTGAATGGAGAAGGAAAAGAGAACCTTTTTAGCAGGATCCCACCTGGGTTGGTCACCTGGACCAGAGGTTTAGTCTTCTGAGGTTTTGGACTCGTGCTGGAGCTTCTCTCTAACCCAGTGTTTCTCAACCTTGACAATTTTAAGGCATGTGGACTTCAACTCCCAGAATTCCACAGCCAGAGAAACACTGTTTTCTGGGCCAACTTGCAACGTTATCCTGGGACAGGTATATTTGCCTTTATTCTTCGTGTGAGCTTTTTACTTCCCTGCTCCCTGTAAAGTTTTGCTGCAGCTTTTATAGTGATCACTGGTTCACATTTTCTGCAACCTGTCATCTTCAAGGATAGAAGTGCTTTTTGATATAGTGTGTGATAAGTGACAGTTTCTGGAGGACAGGGGAAAAAAAACCCTTTTCCTCCCTTTGAAACCCTGAACAAGAAGGGAATTATTAACTTTATGGTTTTTTCATTATGGTTCAGACCCTTCCCAGGGGTTGTGGGCTTGAGGACATTTTCTTCCTCACCCCCCTTCTTTGGTGTTACTTTATTGAAGAGATTGGATACATTTCTGTTCCCTCCCCCCCCCCCGTGTGGTCCAGAGGCAATTTGGTGAATCAATCTGCCAGGTACAACTGCAGCTTCTTTTTGCAACATTATATATATATATATATATGTAGGTCTTTGGTTGTTCGGGTTTTCTCCCGCGTAAAATTGGAAGTGTCTTGGCGACGTTTCGACAAAGTCCCATTCGTCATCTTCAGGCTGATGACGAATGGGACTTCGTCGAAAGTCGCCAAGACACTTCCAATTTTACGCGGGAGAAAACCCGAACAACCAAAGACCTACATACAAACACCCGCGAAAACCTCAGAAAACATATATATGTGTGTGTGTGTGTGTGTGTGTGTGTGTGTGTGTATCACTGCCTTTGCTGTTGCCTCATAAGGTAAGTTAAAAGCTGTCTGAGAAAATACATGAGTGCCTAACATGGCAATCTTTTTGGTATCTCATACTCTCTGCTCAAGGATTTGGCTTCATGCTGCTTCTGCTGCTATCGTGTATTTTTTTTCTTTTTAAAAATAACATTCAGCTCAGGTTCCCAGGGGATGCAACATACTCTTGAAAATCCTATTGGGCTTAATTAAGGAGCGCATAAACATCCTTTACAGACCAATGTACTTCTGCAACCTGTGGAGTCCTCCTACTTTGAGGGAGATGGGTAGTTTCTAAATTTGAAAAATAAAACAAAAGGCTCTTCTCCCCAAATGGCCTGTGTGGAAATGTTTCTTTACCAGTGTGGGCAGTACCACTGGCTAAGCCTGGAGTAAATCTACCCCATGAGTGACTTTTGAAAGCCTAACAAGGAATGACCTGTTGAGCACACAGGATTCAGATTTGGCATATACTGGATAGTGTGTATTTTGTCACGGATCCTACAGTAAAATGTGATGGATATAGCCTATGTAGCATTTAATAAGGTGATTTAAATCCTCTTTGTTATTCTAAAATTTGAAAGGGGGGAGAGATGGTGAAGGAAACAAAAGGCTACAAGAGTGCATGGCTATAGAAGATGTGGCCCTGGACTTCTGGCATGTCTTGGCTTTTGAACTGTGATTTCATTTCTTCCATATTTTTCTGCATATCTCCCCATCTATTAGGATAAAATTTTCATATCCTGTTTCCTTGAAAGGGAGATCAAGAAACAGACCAAAATAACAATATTTTAAAACTAGCTCAAATGGTAAAAAGAACAAAAGTAAGAATAGCATATGGAACATAAAGCATATGGAACATAAACAAGTTTTCAAAATGTTTAACCAAATACTCTCATAGGGAGCTTACTGATTATATTGATGAGAGCTGAACAATAACAGTTTTGTCCCCCAAATATTTTTAAACCCACCCTAATTGTTAAACCATGGCCAACACAGAAAGCTGAAAGAATTAAATGCCAACAACAACCTGAACGTTTGTATGTGTATTCCTATCAGAAATTGATTTAAAAAAGGCCTATCTTGGTGTTCCTGGTGCACAGGCCTGCTTGTGGAGATGGATTAGCACAGCTGCACATATTCTGGGTCCATTTGTGCCTTGACAAACTATTTGTTACTGGATACACATCAGGAGACCATAAAATCAAGGCTGGTTGAAGATATGTAGCTGCACTAGATAATTTGGGAAAGGTGCCTTGGGTTGAGTGTTTGTGGCAAAAGGAGGAGTATCTTCACCCTTCATATAATTAACAATATATTCTACACTGCCATAAAATGTGTTAGGCACTGGGTGTGATAGCTTTAAAAAGAGAATGCAGTTTGAAAAGAAAGTGTGACACCATAGCTAAAAGGAATCTTTAGATCAGGGTTTCTTCCAAATTTTCAGTGCTGAAGGGAAGTGATAAGAGTTGGCCCCTGTTTGAACCTGTCTTGTCGGCTCAGCAGGATTGAAATCATGTTTGCTCCAATGTCAAAGTTGCATCAGACAAGGTTTTTAATTTGTTTCTTGCTATGGACTGCTGGTACCACTATTTTTTGCACCTTTGTATAGCCATTGGGGGACTTAAGAGGGGATCTTGTGTCTGTTTTGTTTTCAGGCATTACCTCAAAAACCTAGAAGGAGTCTGGTAGCACTTTTTCCAACGTAGAGCTTTTATTAAGAGGCTTAATAAATAAGTTGCTGTTTGTGAGCAGCAACTCTATGCATCTGATGATCTAATGCAGTGGTTCTCAACCTGTGGGTCGGGACCCCATTTGGGGTCGAATGACCATTTCACGGGGGTCGCCAAACAAGGCTGACCGCCATTTTTTCCCCCTTTTCTTTGGCCACGCCCCTGGCACCTGGTTATGTATAAGTGGTTGGGGGTCACCACAACATAGGGAACTGTATTATGGGGTCACGGCATTAGAAAGGTTGAGAACCACTGATCTAATGCATTTTAATAACATTTGTTAGCCAGAAAAGATGCTACCAGATGTGTTTTTATTTTTTGCCACCATTGATTCTCCTACAATGCCTTCAAAATCCTAATGTTTAATGTTTCCAGTAAGGGTGCTGGATCCAACTGGGGGGGGGGTGAGTGGGGGATTGCCTATCCTAGCATCCACTTTGCCTTGCTGTTTTAGACTAAGCAATCTACCAAGTGCAGGAGCTCATTCTGACATTGTGCTGTGCATTTAAGCATGCCCATACCTGTAAATGCACAGTAACAGTTAACAATAACACTGTAACTCAAGCCAAACAGCTGTAATATGTACTTCACTTGTTAGAAGTATAATAAGAATGGCTTCAATTTTAATGCATACTTTCCGGGGTAAGCCTTATTCAATTTATAAAATAGATTGCATTTGCAAAAAGGATTTTTAACCAGCTGAAATAAAACTGTTTCCTTTAAATCATAAAAGCAAGTAACCTTGCATAGAAACTTTTCCATTGAAACATCAGTGTATAATAGCATGATCGTCGCAGAAGAAGAAAACGTGTCTTTGCTTGAACATTTTCCTCACTTTCTGACTTCCGTGGTTCTATTCAGTAGCAAACAATAGTAGACTGTGAAAATGCTATTATTAATTCATTGAAAGGAAGGAGCAGGTACATGATTTCAATCTACAATCACAGTCATTCATGCACTGAAAATATCCCAAAGCTGCATTCTTCTGCACTTTCCCACCATAGTACACCATTGAGTATGCTGGCTTACCTATGAGAAGGCATTTCTGTGTAGGAAACAAACTCTTTGAAGTACTAAAAGTGGCACTTGTTCTGTATTCAATGGGCAAAGTTCTTAGCAGGCTCTCCTAGTGTCACCTGAATTATCAGTTGCCTTGATTTTGAGCCCCTCTGCATTAGTTGGCTACCAGAGAGCAGTTGGGGGAGAGCTAGCAGGTGCAGAGGCCTGTCAAGCACTTTCTCCTTTCCATGTGGCTGATAAAAATAAATACCCTTGTGCAGCCTCTGCAGCTAGAACAGCTGGGCATGCTCCTCCTGCATGTCCCTTCCATGTCCTTAGAGGCTGCTTTGAAGTGATTGGCAAAGTATCTTCTGTGTGGGAGCAAGTCGTGCAGTGAAGGAGCCCTTCCCTACTCCAGCTTACTAAGCTGAGCTGTCTGGGCAACAGCCCCTCCTCTTCTTATGCGGGCTCTGGTGAGTGGGTTCTGGTGAGTGAGCAGGAGTGGGAAGAAGACCATGGCTAGTCAAGAGGGGGCTTTGACAGAACTGTTAGTAGATTCTGGAAGAATACCGCACTGCAGACAGCAAGGAGCAGAGCAGTCCAGAAGGGAAAGAAGTGTGGTAAGATTTTGAGGCTTGCTATCAGCTCCAATGCCACTTGAAAGGCAGCTATAGGAGGGGGCAGCAAGCATCTCTTTCTTGCTAATGGGTGGTTGGCAGCAGGGCCCAGAGAAGGGTTCTCTGGGAAGAGTTTCTGGGTGGATCTGACCTCTTCTGTCCAGCCTTCCCCCCCCCTTTTTTTGCAGGATTGATTTGTGCCTGATTATTTTTAGCACCTCTTGTTGGATGGAGATCAGTGCACAGCTCTGCTGCTTTTTTTGGGGGGGGGGGGATCTGTGCACTTTCACAATGCTGGCAGTTGGGCTGAGGGAGGGGAAATGGTACAGTAGCTCCTCCAGAACAGATAGAGGCTGCTTGTTTGTATATGCCTGTTTTGGAGAAAAAGTGTTTTATCTTCAAAACAGTAGATGACTATTGATTATTCTCTTTGGACCTTTCCTGTAGCATAGAGGGACTTAACTGCTGCTCCTACTGCAGCAGTATGGTAGCCTTGGCTGCAGTTTTGGTAGCCTTGGTCCTTCTGTGGCTTGGTGGATGGAGGGCATATAGATTGTATTTATAGAAACAATAGAATTTCTATATAAAGGTTTTATAAATTTTATAGAAAAATGAAATTTTGACTTCGTTTTTGTTGAAAACAAAAAGCTTGTTGTTAATAGAAATGGCTAGTATATACTATCGTATAAAAGTAAAAAGTTGAGTTTGTAATGTTATTATCTTCTACTGTGCCAAAGAGAGTTTGAAGTCAGTGCCTTTTTTTCTTTTTCCTTTCTCGACCCACATTTTTTTCTCTTTTTTCCTTTTTCCTTCCCCTAGGTTTCTATTACTTTTTATTTTCCTTTGTATCTTATATTTTGATAAAAAATAATACAATTTGATAATAACAAGAAATTGTTGCAAGGGAACCATGCTGGTCTTTTGCATGGAATAAGAATGTCGAGGAAAGAGCAAAATATGCAAGGGATCCTGGAAAATATAAGTGGGCATATAGATGGGCATATTAGTGAGTATGTGTTTTAGAGAAAACATGTTTCAGATGCCACTAAAATAGACTGCTAGAAGGAAGAGATAAATCCTTTGGCTGGGAAAATCTTGGCTAGTGTTGTTCTCTTTCTTGTAATAAGGTGTCACCCTTTCCTCCCTGCCCATCATCAGCTTTGGCTGAGAGGCAACTGGTGGCTAAGCATGCAGCACAGATGCCCTTGTTCATAGATCCCATAAATAGCACTGTCAGGTAGACAAATGGTGAAAATGTGCTAAAGAACAGTCTGGGAAGGCAAAGGTAAATACTGCAGAGGTCAAGGACCACCTGTGTGGCTTCAACATTTCCTTTGATTAAATGTTGAGTCTTACAGTTCTGTTTGCACACAATGGCATTTCAGAACGGAGGACTTTCCTTGATAGTTTATATAGCATGTACGTGTATTGAGTAACAATGAATGTAGGTTGGAATACATGGCATATTTCATTTTCATCCAGCACTGTGTATAAATATATTCATCTCTGTATTACTAGATGTTGGTATAATTTGCTGCAGAAGTGTTGGAGAAAAGGTTGTAGATTCACGTTGCCTGGGAGGATGAGTCTTAGATACAGCAAAGGTTTTAGAGCAGAATCTCCATTCACACAGAAGCAGTCAAAGCAAGGGAACTTTCTTAGGAGGCAGGAGGCATCTAAACTTGCTGCAGAGGGTCTAGAGCAGTGTTTCTCAACCTTGACAATTTTAAGGCATGTGGACTTCAACTCCCAGAATTCCACAGCCAGCAATGCTGGCTGTGGAATTCTGGGTGTTGAAGTCCACATGCCTTAAAATTGTCAAGGTTGAGAAACACTGGCTAGAGGCTGCCCAGTGGCTATGTGTGATAGAATCTTGGGCTTGTCCCAAGATTGTTGATTCTTTGGTGCTGGACTATTGCCTAGTTTGTTTGGCAAAAAGCAAAGTTACCACAAGACTCAAACTGAGAGTCGCTTGTGTGTGCGGTGGTAAGCTAGCTTCTCCTGTGCACTGACTCTTTTTGTGTTTGCTTGCTGGGGATCTGGGGAGAGTGACTTGCTGAAAGCTCCACTGCTTGCACCTGGCACACAGGATGAAAGTGCTGTTGAAGTGCAGTTCCACCCCATTTTATTCTCTTCCCTTTCTTCCCCACCATGTTGGCGCTAGCTTCGTTTGTCAAAAGAGGTTGTAAGAGTTCTCACCAGAGGGGGCTGCAACAAGAAGGCTTGTTCTGGATTTATAACTTTCCCTGTAGCAACAGGTGCTGCTGTGCAAGGAAAGGGAAGTATGGTTGGGATTGCAGAGGAGGGGGAAGGTTTCTGGACTGGGGGAAGTTGAAAGAGGAGGGTGTATCTTCTGTTGCTGAGCTGAGACTGTATGGGCTGAAGAACCAGGGGCCCAGTTTGGCTGAGTCAAGGCTGTGGCTTGTTAATGATTGCCTGCAAGTGGGGAGAGGCCCTCAAAAGTGGCTTTCCGTGCATGTATTGTGTGCCTGGGCCTCACCTTCGTCTTTCTCTTTTCCTGTTGCAGGTGGCAGGAAAACCAGAGCAGAATCATCAACAGAGGGGGGGCATTGTTTTATCGCCTTGGGCTGCTTTTCCATTATCCCTCTTCAATTTGGGGTAAAGTTTGGAATTTTCTGTAAATTAAACCCCAGAAGCAAAAATCTGTAGCAGCTGCCTCTGCCCCAGTTTCCCCACAATGCCATCTAATGGGCCAGTTGACACCAGCAGTCCTTCTGCGGACCGGGAGGCAGTCGATGCTCACAAGGTAAGAAAATTTCGGGTGGAGGCTGGGATCACTGCTGGTCCTCTTTCCTATGGCTAGATGGCCCATATATCTCCTTATGGGCCATCTAGATTATGGGCTATCTAGGTTAATTATGGTTCACACAACATGAATCCAAGCAGGATAGAGTATTCTGTGGCTCGGCATAGTATGGGAATCCCACAAATTGTCTGAGCAGGTTATGTTATCACATTAATATGCTTCATTGGTTTGTGCTTAGAATGTTCCATAAATACAGGAATTGGATTTAATTAAGCATGTCAGGAGTTTTAATATGTTGTGAGGCCAATTTGTGATTTGGAATTGTTGCAGTATTTATTTACTTGTTGGTGCAAAACTGTATAGCACAGGTAACATGTGCACCATCTGCGTATTGCTCTAACTAAAGTGCTGAATGTTTGGCATCTGTTTAATCCAAATATTAGGGATGGAATTTTCTGCTGTGATTAATTTTCATATCTATTAATTAGGTGAGAATTACAGAGGAAATGGTGCAGAATAGGAGGAAAGAGAGAATTCACACTTGTTGCTGATGCATTTAAGATTATTTTATATCCATGTTTGATGCTTCTGAGACAAGGAAAAGTGTGATGAAAGTAACATTCTCTAAACATGCTTAGGGCAAGCATGTTGAGCGAGAAGACCTGCTTGTTGAGCTTTCAGGGTGATCCACACAAATTCGATTGTCAGTCATGCAGACCAGGAAAGTGAAGGAAGATCTCAGTCATTAGAGTGTGGGTTTGCAAAGGTAAGATATTTGAAGATAAGCCTGTTTTAGTCAGATTGAGGTGAGAACTGTAGGCTAGTGAAAGAAGATAATTAGGCTTATCCAGTGTAGGAGTTGGCACTGCTGTGTGCTTTCTTTGCAAGGAAATAAGTGCACCAAGCAGGAATAGCATGTATTGGATGATAGGGGTGTTTGAAGTAAGCAATTTGTCTCAACTCTGTGACTGCTGACATAGGGGCAAAGTAGAGCCAATTATGGAATTCAACATGCAGTATAAACATGGAGGAAATCTTGAGTAAGGCCTGCATTTATGTATTGACTTAGTTGTCCTGCTTTGACCTCTGATGACACAGTAAATTGAAAGCAGTGGATGCAGATTGTGAGAATCAATTAGACATTTGTCCCTTGAGGAACATAAAACAATCTCAGTTACTGCTTGTGGGAGCGGAGATGTGGTGAAGTGGTTGTGAGAATGTGTTTGTGTCAGTTTGCATTATAGCTGAAAGGATTTGCTAAGAGGGAGCATGATGGGAGGAACATTGTTGCAGGTAGAGCAATTAACCTCAAATAAATGTGGAAATGGTAGATCTAGAAATAACCTATTGCAAGGAATTGTTATAAGAACTTCAGATTGTGGGGTTCTGACCCAGAGTGTTGTGTATCTAAGCTAAATGGAAATGGGATTCCCAGCGAGTATCTGAATATGGCACAGTTCAGTGTCCTTTAGATTAAACTCCAGCCCACAAAGCTGTAAGGCCTTGAACTAGTAGCATTCAGTGGTGCTGTGAGTCACCACCTCTTACACTATGTGCCCTGTGGTTGACAGGGTTGCCATCTCTTTATCCCACCAAGTTTGCCTAGGAGACTGCATGTAAGTACGGCTGCTGAGGCTATGATTCAGACAGCTCCAGGAAAGAAACAGAAGAAGGACTTATTGGAAGGTATCATCAACCTAACTTTTTATATATTTGCTTTTATATACATTATTGTTCATCCCAGTGTATTAAACACCATCAGTATAAATCAGAGAGGCAGCAATCTTGACAAATAGGATTTACTCTGTGGTTGCTGCCAGAAAGCTGATGTGATATAAAGGGTGATTAGTACCTGAGAGAAATAGATACAAGTTTACTCTCAGCCATGGAAACCACTAGATGACTTTGGCTAATTATCTACCCCAGAGGTTTCATTAAAAAAAAATGGAAGAGAAGGTACAATTGTTGTTTTGGTTTCTGGATAAACAAATAAGAAACAATCAAATAAAGGAGGAGCCTAATATCTGTGCCAGCCAATTTTCATGAGAAAAAGTATTCCAAAGTCAGGGCTCCACCTCCGAAGGTCCTCAGCCTCTATGGAGACAACAACTGTGTGGCTGCTGACAAAAGGCAGGTTGGAGTGGAAAGTTCTTCTCTTTCCAATGTTTGTATTTTTGTGCATTAAAAGTTGATCCAGACATCTTACATTCACTCAAAATATAAATAGGCAGCTAATGTAATCTTTAAAGAATTATGGAATCTGTGTAATTTTTTATTTGGATTTAGGCTCAATTTAAGAATGGAAACTGCCTTCTTGTCCTGATAATGGTCCTGTGCTGGAATGTGATAGGGAGGGGTATTCCAGATTGTTTTGCTCAATGCACTTGTGGTTTGGGATACTATAGTAGCAGATGGCAACTAACATGTGAACTTGGTAGAATTAGAAAACTGAACACATTTAGTACTTGGATAAGGGTGCAACATGAGAATTCCAGGATTGTAGACTAAATTGAGGAGTTCAAAAAGTAACCCACGAGGCAAAAGTAGATGGATATGTGTTGGTGTAAATCATCAACTTCAAGATGACTTTACTATTTTCTTTCCTTGAGCAGTCCAAGGATACAGTACTTGTGGAATGTTATTTAGCCTCTGGGGTATGAAATTTTACAGGGAACTGTTTTGTCTCATAAATGTGTTATGGGAAAGATCACCTGGAATGTTAGGTTAAGTCTCATAAATATATCGCATTTGTGGAAATACTGAATGATTAAATGTCCTTAATCGGGTAGCATGTATTTATTTGTTTATTCATTCAATAAATTTATGTAATTGCCCATGTCATATTTGTGACTTACATGACTTACAATTAAAACATACACAATACCAAAAAACACAGAATGCAAATAATATATAATACAAAATATTAAAATAATTAAACCTGTCCAGTACAGTAACTCATGAACAGTACAACCATTTTATGGGTTCTACACCACTCTTTTATCCTCAGGCCAGATGGCAAAGCAAAATCCTCAGGATCTTCTGGAAGGCCGCCAAGGTCAGGCAGGACTAACCTTACCTTGGGGGGAATGATGTTCTGTAGAATAGGTACAGTATCAAAAAAGATTCCACCTGGAGATGATATTCTCCAATAGACAGAACCTACAATAGTCTCTTCTGCTAGACCTTTGCAGACGACACCAAGCTGGCAGGAATAGCCAACACTCCAGAAGTCAGGCTTAAGATACAGAAGGATCTGGACAGACTCCACGGTACCTTCGAACTTTATTATTATTACTGTTATTATCGATCATCGCACAGTCAGCCAGATGTTCAGACTGGATTTGGCATTTTGTCTACCTATCGAGTCCTTACCCAGGACCTGGGATGATTATTATTATTATTATTATTATTATTATTATTATTATTAATAGTAAAGTTGGAAGGGACCTTGGAGGTCATCTAGTCCAACCCCCTGCTCAGGCAGGAAACCCTTTCGGACAAATGGCTGTCCAGTCTCTTCTTAAAAACGTCCAGTGTTGGAGCATTTACCGCTTCTGGAGGCAGGTTGTTCCACTGATTAATTGTTCTCACTGTCAGGAAGTTTCTCCTTAGTTCTAGGTTGCTTCTCTCCTTGATTAGTTTCCACCCATTGTTTCTTGTCCTGCCTTCAGGCGCTTTGGAAAATAGCTTGATTCCCTCTTCTTTGTGGCAGCCCCTGAGATATTGGAATACTGCTATCATGTCCCCCCTCGCCCTTCTCTTCGTTAAACTAGACATACCCAATTCCAGTAATCATTCCTTATATGTTTTAGCCTCCTTGTTGTTCTTCTCTGTACTCTTTCTAGAGTCTCAACATCTTTTTTACATCATGGTGACCAAAACTGGATGCAGTATTCCAAGTGTGGCCTTACCAAGGCATTGTAAAGTGGTATTAGTACTTCACATGATCTTGGTTCTATCTCTCTGTTAATGCAGCCTAGCATTGTGTTGGCTTTTTTGGCTGCTGCAGCACACTGCTGGCTTATATTTAAGTGATTGTCCACTAGGACTCCAAGATCCTTCTCACAGTTGCTACTATTGAGCACCTATATTATACCTGTACATTTGGTTTTTCTTGCCTAAATGTAGAACCTTGCTTTTTTCACCACTGAATTTCATTTTGTTAGATAGCGCCCAGTGTTCAAGTCTGTCCAGATCCTCCTGTATCTTAAGCCTGTCTTCTGGAGTGTTGGCTATTCCTGCCAGCTTGGTGTAAAGTAAAGTCAACAGCCTGTTCTTTAGAGTGGCAGCAATGTTGGGGGGGAGGAGCAGTAGATTTATTGTTTTTTTTTTTTTAAATGCCAATGCAAGTTTTTTGGTGAGCCACATGCAGCCTATAGTCCATACCTTGTGCAGGCTTGATGTACTGGAATGAAAGTTTGCTTCTGGGCATAATTTATAGTTCTGAGTTTGGCCTACCAATCCTCAAAAAGTTGCCTTGAAACAAGATGGGTAGAATGAATGAATGAATGAATGAATGAATGAATGAATGAATGAATGAATAAATAAATAAATAAATAAATCAATAAATAAAATAAAAAAATATATAAAAATAAAATGGTTTGATTCTGAAATAAAGGACTATTTTCCATTTGAATGTGTTCATAAATTATTACCTCTTACATGAAGGTGTGTTTTATGTTTTGCTATTTGGAAAGAATAAATTGGTGTGTATTCAAGACAAAGTTTTCTGGTAGTGGCATTTTACTTGAGGAACTTCCTACTGAGGAGATTATATTGGCTATAAAGACAATAAACCTCCTCATAAATGTTCTTAAATATTATACTGTAATTGAAGCAATTTTAAGCATCAAGCAAGTTCTGCTTGATGCTATTGTTGCTGCAAATTCTAAATGATTTGCATGTTAATCACTGTAGTAACAAATCTTTTCTCATGTGATATCTTAAACTATCTCTATTTTCACTAAATCAGCTTGCATTATACATACGTAAAATCTGCT